TGTGGATTTCGTGTGTGTTAATTTTTGTGTGGACTGTCTGAGACTAATGGGATGAAAATTGGGTGAAAACCTTAAGTTAGAGGTCGATTTTCGAGGATAGGTGTTTAATAAGGGACATTGCACTAATCACCGCATAAAAAAAAAAAAGATCCCAATGAGGACAACTTTAATAATCTCATTGTGAATCGTCTCTTCGTAGCCTTTATGACTCGAGTGATTAAATCTGTAAGGGTTTAAAACCTGGTGCCCTAAAGTCATCTGATTTGGGAGTCATCGCCTAAAACTCGCTACAGGGGTCATTTAGATAGCTTAAGGGAGAGACGTCCGCACAAAGGGTGATTAAAGAATAAAGATATATGTGAAGAAAAAAATTAATCAAAAAAAAAAAACAGAGAAAAAAAATAGATATCAAATGCCTTGATTAAGCCCCGAGCACTTGTTTTAGACGATTAGACCTTTGATAAGGGGTAAGTAACTTGGTTGATTCCTAGAGGTTGAAGCGGTCAAAAATAAGGAGAATCCTCATTTGTTGACATGTGGAACTACAATCAGTAAAATCTAACCAAACTTGAGTGGTGTAAGAAATTAGTATTGAAGATTTAACCCGAGGTTACACCCTTGGAAAGAGAAAAGAAAATAAGTTTGGGGGTGTGTGAATCCCACGAGTAAAGTAAGGAAAAATTTGACTTCTAAGGTCGGGAATTGGGTCAACTTATTATTGTACAACATTGCACTTGACTCTCCACACACACACCCTCGTTGTGCATTGAATAGGCGAGAATTTAACTTTTGCAATATAGCTTTGAAGTGTTTCATGGAATCGAAGTTATGTTTTTAATTCTCAGACATGAAGGCAAGCTATCTAGCGAAATTTATTTTAAGTGATTTTGTTTGTCTTGGTTGTGCTTGTGTGTCCATTAATTATTTTTATGGGTTTTGGTGTTTGCTCGAGGACAAGCAAAAGATTAAGTTTGGGGGTGTTTGATGAGTGATTTACACTCATTATATTATGCCATTAATTTCATGATTTTGCTATCTTGGAGAGTATTTTAGAAGTTCTAACAAGTGATTTTGGTGTTGTTTTGTAGATTGATGAAAATGGAGAAAACTAGAGCTAAAAGAGGTCAAATGAAGGAAATAGGCAAAAGCTAGCAAAATTGGATGAAATGACCAAAACGTAAGAGATCCAAAGTTCGAGGATTAAAATGCAATTAATCAAAAGTCGTGTCAAAACTTTAAATGAAGATCCGAGAGTTCTAGAAGCCAATTGGACAAAGGAAAGTGTCAAAGGGATCAAATTTAGTCAAGATATGATCATAAATCATTTTCCAACCAAAAAGTTTTGCGCCGGAGTTTTCGTCTCACATTTAGACTCATTTTTGACATAGAAAACGATGGAATTGGAGAATGATTTCTGAATCAAAATTGTAGTCCTTTGAATTATCTTTCCAACGCATCTTGAATCACTTCAATCGGATATCGAACGAAAAAGTTATGATAAAAATACTGAAAGCTGTATAGTGCAACCGAAGTAGTCCTCAGCGCCTAGGCGCCATGATACTGAAATTTTGACAGAAAGTCAGCGCGTAGGCGCCCAAATCGCAGCGCCTAGGCGCCGCTGTGCGAGATTAATTTTTTTAGGTTTTTACCATTCTTTTTCGGCCCAACTCATCTCCAAATCTTTCCCTAAACTCCAAGACAATATAAACACAGGATTGAAGACCTAAATGAGGGGGGAGCCGCACACTAAAAATCTATGGGATCAAGCCACGCGTTCTTGACATATTGGAGAGAAAAACAACAAGAAGGGAGATTCAAGGGAGAAATTTAAGAAGATTAACACTAAGAATTGAAGATTGGAAGCACTCATTGGAAGAGGAAGGAGATCTTGGTGCAAGAATTCCATTTTTTCTTCCACGTCTTTATTTCAAAATCGGTGATGTATTCTAAGACAATCTCCTATTTTTCTTCCATTATTATGAGTAGTTAAATTTCACGTTAGGGCGAACAATGTAATCTTTTGGAACCCTTTATTTCATGCAATTGAGATTCTAGTACTTTTTTATTTCATGTGTTGATTTTAATATTGTTCTTAATACATTTAATTACTTGATCACTAATTAGATGATTTGTGAACATTGATTGCGTAGAGATGCGGATTATTTGTTTAGACCACATATTAAAATCCGGTAAATTAATATAATGTGTAGAGACACCTATATTGATTGCTGCAGTCAGGTGTGAATTCTTAGAACCAATGTTTCGTTTAATTAAATTTAATTTGCATAGAGATATGGAATTAAACTAATTAAGTAGGCTCAATGAGAACTCGAGAGGGGTAAGTTGAATACAATAGAAGAATTCGACCGAACACTACCTTAAGTTTTATGAATCTTGATTTATGAAGTGAAGGTGACCAATAGGTGAAATTGTTCCGCCCTAATGTCCATTTATTGTTTGAATTCTCAATCACTTTTCATTGAATCCAATCACATTTTTAAGTCTTTAGAATAAAAATCATATTTAATCATTGTTTTTTTTATTTACATTCGTCAAATAGTAGTTAAAGAAAGATTAAATTAAGTGCTACAAAATAGTCCTCGTGGGATCGATAACCGGACTCTTAGGTCCACTATTACTTGTTAGGGATCGTACACTTGTGAAACAAAATTATACAACATACGACCTCCGTCGCCCCAGAATGGAAGGGATTATCTCGTAGTTCTTGGTCTGTGAAGATGTGTTGGATATTTAAAATATTAGTACTTGGACGAGGGAACAACTTGTAATCGAGAGTTAGAAAGGAGAGTAACAGAACAAGCAAAATTGAATGTGGTCTCTACTTCAATAATTTCTATAATTCAATGTTTTATTTGATACTAGTATTTTAATTTGAATTAACTAATGGAAATCAATCTCAAATTACGTGTAGTTTAGATTATGCGCTTATTTGAGCCCCATTATTATTCTAAGAATGTATTTTAGAATGACAGTTTGATGAGAAATGTGTGGTTAAAAAATAAGGAAAAATTTCGAGTTTGCGTGTAATATAATTTTATTGAAAAATGTGATTGCAATGAAGAAAAAGAAAAATATATTTTGAAAATAATGAGGATCAAACAAGGGCTATATTTTTTAGCATCATTTTATCAATCAAGATTGATTGATTCTTAAAATATGTTATTAAAGCTATGAATGAAAAATAGCAAAAATTATTGGTCACACACAATCTCAAGGATGTGAGTGATCACGTGATAAACCCCCCATGCACCAAATAGATTAATTAAAAAGTTGAGCATGTTCTTGATATGATCATATTTTTAGTAATTTTGATTAAAGTTGTAAATCCCCTAAAACGTGTGGTTTGAATTAATTATATACTTTGACTTAAATTTTAATCTAACTTTTTAGTTGAACCAAATGGGACTATATAAGCTAACGTTTCACTTGTAAGTCAGCTAGTAAAATGTTGTATTGATCATCAAGTCATACAAATTTAACTCGTACTTTGCTAACCAACTAAACGTGTTCTAGTTTTAGACCTTTCGCGTTGTACCTCAAATTCAACAAAATGTATGCATAACCATTGACATTATTTTCAACAATTTTCAACCTAACTCGATGCATGAAAATTTAGTGATAAATGTTATCGACACCTTATGTGTATTTCTGTAAGTTTTTTGGTGAATCAAGACATAATTATTTGGTGGTTCGCTCTTTATATAATTAAATATTTACATATAAATCTTAAGTCTCGAAAATAAGGGATTAATTACGGTGCTACATAGAATTACACATCCTTCTTCTTTAATCCCGTCAATTTTTAGTTTTTTTAATTGATTCCATCAAATATAACAACATAGAATACAAGTCGAAAGGATGTCTTTATTTTTTGTTAAAAAAATAAAAAGGAATAAAGTAAACCTTTTTTTTTTTTTTTTCCATAGCCATTAGTTTCCACGATCGTTCCTTGTCAAATTTGTTGTTCCTCTCAAAATCATTTGTCTCCATTCGCACTTCGTAGCTTTCAATGAATGACAGTTTGGTGGCCACACTTTGAAAAATGTTTTTCTATAGCCTACAAATGAAATGGGGTTCTGGAATTTCATCCATTCGAATTTAGAGGAACACAGAATGGTTACGCAAATAGGTGGAGAAAAAAACAGTGTGGAATTAAGAGAGAAATAAGATGATTTTGTGTTACCTACGTTATGGATAAATCTGTTTGTACAGTCCACCTAGAAGAACACAGAATGGTTATGCAAATAGGTGGAGAAAAAAACTGTGGGGAATTAAGAGAGAAATAAGATGATTTTGTGTTACCTACGTTATGGATAAATCTGCTTGTACAGTCTGAGGTGGACTGTACAAGCTTACATCCCCTCACAGCTCGGGGAGCCAGCCATTTTTTTGCCATTTTTTTATTGTGTAGGGCCCTCGAGCTATAAGGAAAGTGTCAACCGAACTGTCAAACTAACTATTTGTGCAGTTCAATTAATTATGCGCAAACCACCGTCCACTTAGAAAATATGACAATATCATTAGCAGAAACATATTTTAATTTCCGTTTGACATGGCTTTTGAGAAGTCAAAAATAAACTTTTGAGACCCAAAGCTTCTTTTTTCAATGAAATGTAAAAAGGAAAAATCAAAATTTTCTAAAGGTCTATTATAAACGATAAAAAGTTCTATTCAACCGTGGGGGCTAGTTTTATCTCCATTTTTCAAGAAAAATACTCTCTATCCCATAAAGATATGCTTATTTTCATCTTTGCACAAATTTAAAAAATGTAATTAATACAACTAGAAATACAAAATTTACTTACATTTTTCCTAATACACCTTTACATTAAAAAATGATTTAAATAAGAATAGTTCATATTTTTTAATAGGGACATATTAGAAAACTAAAAAATCAACTATACTTTCAAAAAGAAAAGTAGCCTATAATTTGGATCAAAAGAACAAAAAAAGCAAGTCTATATTAAAGGAACCAAGAGAGTAACAAATTATTTATCTCTTATTAGCATCTACTCGTCTCCCGATAACACACAAAAGTACAATGCATGGTTCAACCACTTCACAACAAACTACACGTCCGACAGTTCCAATACCTATGTTATTTTGCAACACTTCGCCATATATTCATTATACATGCGCAAACATAATGCATCTGAGTCTCGACATGAATGGCACCAGTACACACCACAATACAACTATAATGTTGCTCGAAATATACCTTAAGATTTCCAATCACTCTTTCTTTTTGTCACTGGTTTCTGAAACTGAAGCATTGCGGTAAGGTGCAGCTGTGTATGCATATTGCATCAAGCGTGAGAAGAAAACCATCTCCACAATCACTAACATGTTCTGAAGAGCTTCCTGGACGTGCTCCACGTCGAGCCAGAAATGATTCGATTTTACTATTCCCATTGCTACAAGAATGTCAAGCAGAATTCCCTGGGAAAGGATAGAAAACGCATCTAAATAATCATTTCACAATCGATAAATGTTTGAAGAGGAGAGAAAGCAAAGAACACGCAAGCTACCAGCAAGCTACCAATTCCACCTATATATGGGACATGTTTTGCAAGGCTTTTAAAAAGCCAAAAAAATTGTTTTTGAGGCTAAGAAGATACTTTTGAACGTGTTTGGATAATTTTCTAGAAGTTCTTTGTATACCTTAAGATTTCCAATCACTCTTTCTTTTTGTCACTGGTTTCTGAAACTGAAGCATTGCGGTAAGGTGCAGCTGTGTATGCATATTGCATCAAGCGTGAGAAGAAAACCATCTCCACAATCACTAACATGTTCTGAAGAGCTTCCTGGACGTGCTCCACGTCGAGCCAGAAATGATTCGATTTTACTATTCCCATTGCTACAAGAATGTCAAGCAGAATTCCCTGGGAAAGGATAGAAAACGCATCTAAATAATCATTTCACAATCGATAAATGTTTGAAGAGGAGAGAAAGCAAAGAACATGCAAGCCACCAATTCCACCTATGTATGGGACATGTTTTGCAAGGCTTTTAAAAAGCCAAAAAAATTGTTTTTGAGGCTAAGAAGATACTTTTGAACGTGTTTGGATAATTTTCTAGAAGTTCTTTGTTCAATTAGAAGATCTCTTTTGAAAAAGCTGGTCCAAGGCGACTAACTCTTGAAGCTCCTCTACAAGAAGTAGAAGTAGAAGTTATGCCAAATGGACCCAAAACCCACTTCAACCCTTGGTTAATCTTTTAATTTGAAAAGTATAAAACTTCTTGAAACTTGGTATACTAGACTGGTGTTTCAGAAGATTATATACGATAAGCATACCTGCCAGAAACAGAAGAAGACGATGCCTTTGACGCACAAAAACTTGGCAAGTGGTTTATGCGGTGCTAACTCTTTCGCAAAAACATGGTAGAAAACCACAAGGGAATACAATGCCAAAGAAACAGAAACGTTCAAGATCATGGTGAATGTCCAGCTGAGCCAACTGGGATATATTCCAAGAAGCTGAAGAGCTATCATCAAGACAGAGCAAACTGGGCGAATTACCACAAACTGCCATGTCCATTGCTTGAGAAGCTTTAAATTCTTATGGTCCAGATGGACAGCGTGAGGCTGCAATTGCCAAAATGGTGCATTTAGACATTACTGTGGTTCATGAGGTTAAAAACAGACTGAAAAATTCATAATTATGAAGATTCAAGAGGCAAGATGATGGCTTGCATTTGCTTTAAATTATGAGAATAATTCCATTTAAAAATATCACAAACAAATCAAGTTGGATGATAATACGTCCCAAGGGTGAAGATTAACATACTGCTAATTTATCACATTACAACATCCATTGGTTGAAGAATGGAGAGCTCGACCTGGAAAAGAGTCATTGGGAATGAGTGGTGAATCTCTCTTCCTTTAATTTCATCAGGCACTATATTTTTGCTGATAGATATGTTCAAATAAGTATACATCAAAGCCAAAAACTTAGCCATCACCTACACTTCATCAAAAGATAAAGTTAATTCCCACCACAAAAAAAAAAAAAAAGTTGATAAAGCAGGCAAAAATAAAGTGCTATGCGTGAATTATCCAACTTGGCTCTGATGACTAAAACCACAAGTTGGAGTTACAGAATGCGTAGTCGTTGAACATTTACCAGAGCCTCATAGCATTCTTTGACAGAATCCAAGAATGTGAAAAATGTTGCGCTCCCACGAATGTCTAGCAGACCAACGTAGGAGTCAATGGCATATAATGGAGCCATGAGGACAATAATTACTATTGCCTTCTGTTCCTTTGGCTTCTTCCAAGATTGGAAATGTTCAGATACAAGCTGTATCGCAAAGTGTAGAGTGAGCATTACACATACAGTGGACCCCATCAGTGTGAGTTTCCCGCGGTCCATTCCGGAGAAATCCTTTGGTAGATATTCCATTCTGGAAGTATCTTCTGGTAGCCAATCTTAAGATCACTCTTTCAACCTGCAAGTAGATGCTTAATTTCAAATTGCAACCATTTATGTCAAATTTCCTATCAACCAAACCAGAAGTGCAAATTTTTGAAGAATATGACTCCTGGTAATAAATTTTTTTCTTTCTTGTTCACCGTTCTCTCCACATAGGGACAGTGGAAATTTAAAAATTAAAACAGTTTAAATTGCAGGTAAAACATCTTCTGAATAACCTCTTGCATATACATTATCTCACTTCTCTTTATTTTTCCATAGAACAGATAACTTTTATCAACTTTTTGTGAAAAATGCAGGGAAATGTCTAAAATCTACTGTTAAGAGCATATGTAAATTTGCATACCCAAAAAAAAAATATTTACCATCTGGATAAACAACGTAAATATGATTTTCTTCCACCTAAATAATAAAATCATAAATATTCAAGTGTACGACAATCTAGCTAAAAATTCAGCTCCTTACGGCATATCCCAATTTACTGTAGCAGAATAAAATTCAGCGGTATTCATTCAATTTTACTTAATAATAAGATTACAATAACCAATATTTTCCACTACTATCACTTCAGAAACAATCATGGAAAAACAGAATCATATACGTCTATGTAACAAGAGATTAAGAACTAAACACCTGTGGCAAATACATTATGAAATCTGATGATGGGTAGCAAAGATGAACTCTTAAGGTCATAAACATAGAAATACGTAGTCACCTCAACCTTGCAACAATGAGCACCCATATTAAATGAGACAATAACCAGCTAAAGCTTGAAGCGAGGAGCTTCATTAATAAGTCTTCACCTCAGACCGAGAGGCAAGAAGTGAGGAAATATGACAATCATGCGCCATGCAATGACAACTGTGCATAGCCTACTTGTATATACCGACATAAAGTGCTCAAGGTCAATCTAGAATTGCAGAATGCCTCCACTAGAGGAGGAGCAGCCATCACCTTATCTTGCATAAGGGCTGGCTCCCAAAAGACTTGGTAATCAGAAATCATGACAATAAAAATACTTTATGCATCATGCTCCATTCAATGTTTAGCCAAATCTTCCTCTCTCAAGTCTCACCAACCACAATATTCTCCCCAACCATTGCTCTGCCCATATCATTTCCCTTCACTTGGATTTTGGTACTCTTTAGCGATAACTTTTGTCTTCACCGAAAGTCAGATCAATGCCTCAAATCCTCATTTTGATAAAAAAGAAAAAAAGAATTAACAATGCTTAAATCCTAATCTACTAATGGCATGTTGGTAAGTTGTTTATTCTACTATCCAGTCCACTAATATGTGCCAAACAATTTTTTTATTTTTTATGTTACAGCAAATCCCACCTATTCAATTTCTCGTTTGAAATCGAGTCTTATCAAAGTAAGGTTCAGTATATAATCAACCCAACCAAACCCTGTTTTAGAGACAGATCAGCACTCTATCACATACACTGATACAGCTCTTTCTGGTTTGCAGCCTAATCTTCCTTTCCTCCTCATATTATTAAGAAGGCAAGAAAAAAAAATGAAATTATTATTATTATTATTATTTTGAGGACCTACGATTAAATTCCCAAATTGCAACAAGAACAGTACGCGGTAAGACCCAGCTAAAAAACGCCAAGCTTAACCGGATTATTCAGTTTTCCATTAACACTTCAATCCAGTTTTCAACAATCTTATTCCAACGCTGGTGATTTCTTCCAATTGAAATTGCAAAACACAGAGAATCAAAGAGATACTTACAGAATCCGGGCTGTTGATGTATAATTTGATGGCTGGGATAAGATCAATAACAAGATAAGTTAAAGTGTTTCGATGAAGAAATCAAGAAAATATTATTGATATGAAACAAGATAACTAACGCCCCCCCCCCCCTCCTCCGCAATCAGGCTGTGTGTAGATTTTTTTTCCCTCATATTTCACATTATTGTGTCGTCACAGCGTTTCTACACGTTTATTTTAACAGTAAGGCATTGCAATTTATTCTAAAATACTTATAGTAAAAATGATCTTTGTTATCAATTTATTGGAAGATTTGATGAATTTCATACGAATTAATTAAAATAAAATTTAGCATAAAAATTTAAAAGAAGAAAATTGTACTCTCAAAATTCAATTTCTATTATTCAATTTTTTTGTAACGATGAAATGCTATAAATGAGGAATCTTTTTATATTACGTTTTATACATAAAAATTAATTATTAATACATAAATTTAAACATTCATTAAAATTTCTACATACATGAACATAAATAAATTCATCTATAATGACTCTAGATTCATATAATTGAAAATTCATCAAGTGAGAATTCATTGAATCTTGATTAATATAAATGTTAATTTATTGAGAATTATTAATTAATAACATAAATTTCATAAAAGACAATAATTATGTGATATTTATTATATATCGAAAAATGAAAAGTAAAGTATTGTTGAAATAATTGAATTATAGAAAGGTTAAAATGATTCAAAAAATGATTCACCCTCGATGCGATACTTTAATATATTATAGATTATAGATAATACTTTAAACCAAATTTTGACAAGGGTACAGTTGACTTAATTTTTGAAAAAAGTACAATGCATGGTTCAACCACTTCACAACAAACTACACGTCCGACAGTTCCAATACCTATGTTATTTTGCAACACTTCGCCATATATTCATTACATGCGCAAACATAATGCATCTGAGTCTCGACATGAATGGCACCAGTACACACCACAATACAACTATAATGTTGCTCGAAATATACCTTAAGATTTCCAATCACTCTTTCTTTTTGTCACTGGTTTCTGAAACTGAAGCATTGCGGTAAGGTGCAGCTGTGTATGCATATTGCATCAAGCGTGAGAAGAAAACCATCTCCACAATCACTAACATGTTCTGAAGAGCTTCCTGGACGTGCTCCACGTCGAGCCAGAAATGATTCGATTTTACTATTCCCATTGCTACAAGAATGTCAAGCAGAATTCCCTGGGAAAGGATAGAAAACGCATCTAAATAATCATTTCACAATCGATAAATGTTTGAAGAGGAGAGAAAGCAAAGAACATGCAAGCCACCAATTCCACCTATGTATGGGACATGTTTTGCAAGGCTTTTAAAAAGCCAAAAAAATTGTTTTTGAGGCTAAGAAGATGCTTTTGAACGTGTTTGGATAATTTTCTAGAAGTTCTTTGTTCATTTAGAAGATCTCTTTTGAAAAAGCTGGTCCAAGGCGACTGACTCTTGAAGCTCCTCTACAAGAAGCAGAAGGAGAAGTTATGTCAAATGGACCCAAAACCCACTTCAACCCTTGGTTAATCTTTTAATTTGAAAAGTATAAAACTTCTTGAAACCGGTATACTAGACTGGTGTTTCCGAAGATTATATACGATAAGCATACCTGCCAGAAACAGAAGAAGACGATGCCTTTGACGCACAAAAACTTGGCAAGTGGTTTATGCGGTGCTAACTCTTTCGCAAAAACATGGTAGAAAACCACAAGGGAATACAATGCCAAAGAAACAGAAACGTTCAAGATCATGGTGAATGTCCAGCTGAGCCAACTGGGATATATTCCAAGAAGCTGAAGAGCTATCATCAAGACAGAGCAAACTGGGCGAATTACCACAAACTGCCATGTCCATTGCTTGAGAAGCTTTAAATTCTTATGGTCCAGATGGACAGTGTGAGGCTGCAATTGCCAAAATGGTGCATTTAGACATTACTGTGGTTCATGAGGTTAAAAACAGACTGAAAAATTCATAATTATGAAGATTCAAGAGGCAAGATGATGGCTTGCATTTGCTTTAAATTATGAGAATAATTCCATTTAAAAATATCGCAAACAAATCAAGTTGGATGATAATACGTCCCAAGGGTGAAGATTAACATACTGCTAATTTATCACATTACAACATCCATTGGTTGAAGAATGGAGAGCTCGACCTGGAAAAGAGTCATTGGGAATGAGTGGTGAATCTCTCTTCCTTTAATTTCATCAGGCACTATATTTTTGCTGATAGATATGTTCAAATAAGTATACATCAAAGCCAAAAACTTAGCCATCACCTACACTTCATCAAAAGATAAAGTTAATTCCCACCACAAAAAAAAAAAAAAAGTTGATAAAGCAGGCAAAAATAAAGTGCTATGCGTGAATTATCCAACTTGGCTCTGATGACTAAAACCACAAGTTGGAGTTACAGAATGCGTAGTCGTTGAACATTTACCAGAGCCTCATAGCATTCTTTGACAGAATCCAAGAATGTGAAAAATGTTGCGCTCCCACGAATGTCTAGCAGACCAACGTAGGAGTCAATGGCATATAATGGAGCCATGAGGACAATAATTACTATTGCCTTCTGTTCCTTTGGCTTCTTCCAAGATTGGAAATGTTCAGATACAAGCTGTATCGCAAAGTGTAGAGTGAGCATTACACATACAGTGGACCCCATCAGTGTGAGTTTCCCGCGGTCCATTCCAGAGAAATCCTTTGGTAGATATTCCATTCTGGAAGTATCTTCCGGTAGCCAATCTTAAGATCACTCTTTCAACCTGCAAGTAGATGCTTAATTTCAAATTGCAACCATTTATGTCAAATTTCCTATCAACCAAACCAGAAGTGCAAATTTTTGAAGAATATGACTCCTGGTAATAATTTTTTTTCTTTCTTGTTCACCGTTCTCTCCACATAGGGACAGTGGAAATTTAAAAATTAAAACAGTTTAAATTGCAGGTAAAACATCTTCTGAATAACCTCTTGCATATACATTATCTCACTTCTCTTCATTTTTCCATAGAACAGATAACTTTTATCAACTTTTTGTGAAAAATGCAGGGAAATGTCTAAAATCTACTGTTAAGAGCATATGTAAATTTGCATACCCAAAAAAAAAATATTTACCATCTGGATAAACAACGTAAATATGATTTTCTTCCACCTAAATAATAAAATCATAAATATTCAAGTGTACGACAATCTAGCTAAAAATTCAGCTCCTTACGGCATATCCCAATTTACTGTAGCAGAATAAAATTCAGCGGTATTCATTCAATTTTACTTAATAATAAGATTACAATAACCAATATTTTCCACTACTATCACTTCAGAAACAATCATGGAAAAACAGAATCATATACTTCTATGTAACAAGAGATTAAGAACTAAACACCTGTGGCAAATACATTATGAAATCTGATGATGGGTAGCAAAGATGAACTCTTAAGGTCATAAACATAGAAATACATAGTGATCTCAACCTTGCAACAATGAGCACCCATATTAAATGAGACAATAACCAGCTAAAGCTTGAAGCGAGGAGCTTCATTAATAAGTCTTCACCTCAGACCGAGAGGCAAGAAGTGAGGAAATATGACAATCATGCGCCATGCAATGACAACTGTGCATAGCCTACTTGTATATACCGACATAAAGTGCTCAAGGTCAATCTAGAATTGCAGAATGCCTCCACTAGAGGAGGAGCAGCCATCACCTTATCTTGCATAAGGGCTGGCTCCCAAAAGACTTGGTAATCAGAAATCATGACAATAAAAATACTTTATGCATCATGCTCCATTCAATGTTTAGCCAAATCTTCCTCTCTCAAGTCTCACCAACCACAATATTCTCCCCAACCATTGCTCTGCCCATATCATTTCCCTTCACTTGGATTTTGGTACTCTTTAGCGATAACTTTTGTCTTCACCGAAAGTCAGATCAATGCCTCAAATCCTCATTTTGATAAAAAAGAAAAAAAGAATTAACAATGCTTAAATCCTAATCTACTAATGGCATGTTGGTAAGTTGTTTATTCTACTATCCAGTCCACTAATATGTGCCAAACAATTTTTTTATTTTTTATGTTACAGCAAATCCCACCTATTCAATTTCTCGTTTGAAATCGAGTCTTATCAAAGTAAGGTTCAGTATATAATCAACCCAACCAAACCCTGTTTTACAGACAGATCAGCACTCTATCACATACACTGATACAGCTCTTTCTGGTTTGCAGCCTAATCTTCCTTTCCTCCTCATATTATTAAGAAGGCAAGAAAAAAAAATGAAATTATTATTATTATTATTATTTTGAGGACCTACGATTAAATTCCCAAATTGCAACAAGAACAGTACGCGGTAAGACCCAGCTAAAAAACGCCAAGCTTAACCGGATTATTCAGTTTTCCATTAACACTTCAATCCAGTTTTCAACAATCTTATTCCAACGCTGGTGATTTCTTCCAATTGAAATTGCAAAACACAGAGAATCAAAGAGATACTTACAGAATCCGGGCTGTTGATGTATAATTTGATGGCTGGGATAAGATCAATAACAAGATAAGTTAAAGTGTTTCGATGAAGAAATCAAGAAAATATTATTGATATGAAACAAGATAACTAACGCCCCCCCCCCCCCCCCCCCCNATATAAAACAAAAAAACAACCCCCCCCCCCCCCCTCCTCCGCAATCAGGCTGTGTGTAGATTTTTTTTCCCTCATATTTCACATTATTGTGTCGTCACAGCGTTTCTACACGTTTATTTTAACAGTAAGGCATTGCAATTTATTCTAAAATACTTATAGTAAAAATGATCTTTGTTATCAATTTATTGGAAGATTTGATAAATTTCATACGAATTAATAAAAATAAAATTTAGCATAAAAATTTAAAAGAAGAAAATTGTACTCTCAAAATTCAATTTCTATTATTCAATTTTTTTGTAACGATGAAATGCTATAAATGAGGAATCTTTTTATATTACGTTTTATACATAAAAATTAATTATTAATACATAAATTTAAACATTCATTAAAATTTCTACATACATGAACATAAATAAATTCATCTATAATGACTCTAGATTCATATAATTGAAAATTCATCAAGTGAGAATTCATTGAATCTTGATTAATATAAATGTTAATTTATTGAGAATTATTAATTAATAACATAAATTTCATAAAAGACAATAATTATGTGATATTTATTATATATCGAAAAATGAAAAGTAAGGTATTTTTGAAGTAATTGAATTATAGGAAAGTTAAAATGGTTCAAAAAATGATTCACCCTCCTCGATGCGATACTTTAATATATTATAGATTATAGATAATACTTTAAACCAAATTTTGACAAGGGTACAGTTGACTTAATTTTTGACCTAATGTCATGTGACATTTTATTATTAAACAATTTAAAATACAGTCAATTTTTTCATACACTCATCTACTATCACATATATTACTATCAACCTTTCTGTCATTTTTCTTCTATCAAAATACATTAATCCTTTTGATGATACATGATAGAGTGTCAAATATAATATATACTCTGTGTATACAACTAGTTTAATCTAAAATCGAGTTACATGTTTGAGCATACACTATACTTTACAAAATATTACGTTCACTTACCTTACATTGCTTTGCACCCGATTGCTCACTGAACTTTGTTAAGTTGCACTCCATCGCTCACCGGCTAGCTTCTGTCTCTTCCAAGCGCCTACGTGGCTGATGGTTTTACACGTGGTCGTTAAAAACTCAAACAGAATAAATGAAATGCTACATACGAAAATGATGAAGCCATGTATTTAATTACCCAACTCCCAAACAAGCCAATTTTACGAAAAATTTCGTTTATTAAAATATAAAAATCGTTACAAATTGTATTTTTGATAAATATAAGTGATGTTGACCTTCTTGTAATTACAAGATTGCGAAAATCCTCTGATTAATAATCTAAATATTTGAAGACGAGAAGTCACGTGACTTGAATCCTGATCTTCGAGAACTTGTTGAAAATTTGATTTGTTAAGACTTGACTTGTTCAGCACTTGGATTTCATGGCTTGGACTTGAACTTAAATTTGATTTAATTGAAATGAGACTTTGATCTTTTTGAACTTGGCGTGAACCTGTGCGATACAAAGAGGATTTTGACCTTATTGAGGTTCGCTAGATTTGGATTTGAGAAGATTTCTTCTCTTCCCTTGGCTTTGGAATTTCTTAAGCAATTCGTGATTGTCTTCTATACTTTCACTTTTTGCTTGCTTTCACTTTCTCCCCTCCTTTATGGACCCTTGGTCCTATTTATAGGGAAAAAATCATTCTAATTTTGATAATTACTCAATAATTGAGTAATTATGATTTTATTTATTTATTTAAAAAGTGAAAATGAGCCTTTTGATTTTATGGATTTTTGTAGACTTTGATTTAATTGAGCTAATGATTTAAATCGATCCAATCCATTTTCTTTATTATTTATTTATTTTGATATCTACACCAATTTGAAAGCATGATATCAAAATCAAATAGAAGAAGAACAAGATAGAAACTAACCTTCATCTCTCTCAAATCTAAGATTACAAATTGGGAGAACCCTAACCCCAAATCAATTTGATCTTAAAATAAAAGGCACGATAAGGGTATATTGCTCAGTCCCTTGGCATGGAGAAAACAAACGGAGGTATTGCAGAAAATTTTTCCCTAATATCACTGCTACTACATCGGTGGGTCCAATTAATGTTGTATTGATATTTATTCTAGTTTACTTGGGTAATTTTTGGTTAAAATAGCATGCATTTGTTGTCATAAGTAAATTTTGCCCAAATCAGTGTATGTGTTGTTGCAAATATAGATTTATGTTCTCGTGGAATATGGGTATATTTCTTATTCCTGCAGTTTACATGTCTATACAAAACTATGAAACATGGTGGAATTAGGATGTTATCTTTGCTTGTAACATTACTTAGAAAAGAACTTGAACCCAAATTGCTTGAAAAATGATTTTGTTACCGTCCATATATTGATGGAACAAGAGGTGATATATTTTGAGACAATGGGTTTGCACCAAATTTATGTGATAAAAAATTGTGTGTAGTATTGTGATGTTTCATTAAGATTATTGTTTTTCTGTCTGATAGGAAAGAACAAGGGGATTTGCCATAGTTGCAGACAGCCTATGCACCAATTGTGGATATGCCCCAAAAAGCAACGATGTCCAGAGTATGCCGATGTTTTCATGAAATTGATGGAAATAGTAAAGACCAAAAACATAGGTCGGTAATTTTTTTGTTACACTAGAGATCGAGGGTTTTTTTAGTGGAGTGACGTCTCGCCGGACAAATGAAAACCATTAAAGGATGACAGTTAGCCTAGTGGTGATAATGAAGAACGCAATATGGTTCCAATTGAAGATCTGTCGCTTCGATTTACAAGTGTTGCTCAAATTACCTAAAAAAGGACTTCAGTATATCATTAAACTTAACCTTTGCACGGGTGATGGAGTCATAGGAGATAGTGGTGAACGAAGAGGAAGAGAGTTGTGAAAAACTTCCACATTGTACTCAAGGAGAACTAGATTTTTCATGTTTGTGTGTTGTTGAAGTATACTATTGTTAACTTTCTTTCTTTTCGATGGTCGATGTTGTGATGTGCTGGAGCCTATCAATAGCGTAATTAGTTTAAATATGTTGTTAATACTTATGTTAAATGTTATTTATTGAAATCTTTACTGCTGAAACCTTTACTGTTGGTAGTGTAAAATATGTTAAATGTTATGTTGTTGGTATTTTTCTGGTACATAGAGTTCCTATATATCAAGCATTAATGGAGTGTTATATGATCACACGGTTATTTTAGTTTACCTTTTTATGTTTTCATGTTTTTAGTTTTCTCTTTCATTTATCTTTATTGGTTTGTAAGAATAAGTAACAAATAAAATTAACAAAAAGTGAATCCAAGAAAGCAAGAGTAAGTAAACATTAGATTTTCAAATACCAAGTGTCTTCCACTTTTCTTTAGCTATACATAGACCCCTGTAAAACATTTAGCATTAAATATCAAATTATAGCTGCCTTTATATCCAAAAGTAAACCTGCAGAAACACAAAAATTGGACACTATCACAACGACAAAAACACCATCCACACCATCATAAGGACACCCTCCAAACCATCACCCGTAGTTACCTATGTACATCAACTACACATGCCAATATAATAGCACAAAATACATGAAACACTACACAAACAGGTTCCTATTTTCTTCAAAAATTGGATTTCCCAACACTAGGAATGATTAGTGGGGGTGGGAATGAACTTAAAAATATTTCAGATTGATGCTGGAAGCCTGACGTTGGCATGAATTGAAAATTTTCAACTTTCTCATGTGCGTGACTTGAACCTGCTCCATTTCCATGGCCTAGAACCAATTTTCCCAAACATAAATTCGACATTAGTAAAAAAACTTATAATTTCAATAAGTTACACACATGCAACAAGAATAATATTAGTACTAACATGTCTCCAAACCTCCTCTGTCACGTGCCTTCCACTATCAACTGACTCCAACAATCCTTCATACAGTCCTGTACATAAAAAAATCAAGTAGTTTGATTTTATTGTAATTGAAATAATCAATTATGATTTTATTCTCTTTGAAAAACAATTATGCTACATGTATAATTGGGGTTGACAAACACACGTGGGAGGGGGCTCACACTGGATAAAAAATCGTGGATCCCTCCTATGAGTACTTTGTCAACTCCGGTTGTCCAAGTAGAATAATTCATTTGAAATACTCAATTGAACACCAGAAAAAGTACTTACAAAACTCGGTACATTAGGCTTAGAGTAATATCTTTTGTAGTGTCTTTTTAGTCCACATAGTGAGCTTGTCATCAATACTCTTCCTTTTCTCCTAAAATGCGATTCCTCTTGATACTGTGCGATAATATCTTCGTCCGCTTGTCTCCTCAATTTTTTTTTTTTTTTTGCTTTCTCCCCCTTCGTGAAAGTAGTCCATGAGAGTGGAATGATGGGTACAGTATCCAATTGGGACCATAATCGTATTCCGTTAATAGGATTCAAGATGTTATTATAGCATCTCAAGTATGTTTCGATTGTGTAACAGTTATCCACATAATCGTCGAGATCATTTCTACACTCCCATATCACGACCAAGGTTTGATTACGTGGTATTCTCATCAAGTTCCACCTCCTACATGCACAACTTCGTTCTTCCAAGTCAACGACATAGGTCTATAACCTACAGTCCACCTGCCATCGAGGTCTTCCTGAAAAATGTAATGTGCATTCATTGGACATCTCAGTGATCTTAGCAAGCTGTTTTTAGTCCTTTGATACAATCACCCTTCGTACTTTCTTGTCTTACTTTGATGCTTCTCAATCCTAATCATAAACCCCAACTACATATCTGCCAACATCATTACAATGAACTTCTCCCTATCCTTTATCAGCATTTTATTGAAAACTTCACACAAATTATTCAATAAAATGTCAATCTTCAAGTGTTTCCTGAAATGAGATTTACTCCACTCGCCCTGTTGCCTCTCGTTCAGCCATGTATACACTTCTTCACTAACTTGACAAATTTGTTGCATCCACATTCTAACTTAGGTAAGGTAGTAGACTTAGCAGCCCGCCAAAACAAGACCTTCAAAGTCTTCCCCTAAAATTCCTATTGAGAAAATTTGTATACATATGCCTAACACAGAACATATGCTCCATCTCTGGAAATAATTCATCAACGACATTACTTAATCCCTTTTGCCTATCTGTCATCACAGTCCAATCAACCCATTTTCCATCTAATTTTCCTCAGCCAAATATTTTAAAAACCATCTCGAAGCAACAGTTTCTCCTTCTGGACAACGGCATATGAAATAGGATAGATACAATCATTTACATAGTATACCAGGCCAAACACCCCGAAAATGGCATCCCTCCACTCCAATGATTTTTCTACACCCATGTTAAAACCTTAATTTGTAAGCACTAAAATAGATGTATATACCTTGAAACACCTGCCCACTAAGTCCTATCATCACTGTGGATCCTGGATTGGTCCTCAATACCTCAGCTGCATACGACATTAGCAACACAAACTGTTCTTTATTCCCACTTATCAGTTGCTTCGCATATCTTCTAGCTTTTCAAGCGACATTTTTAGTAATGTTTACTTTCAAATCCTCCTCCTTTACGGTTGCTTGCGTACTTTTTGTTTTTCACTCTCGATCTACCTTGAACTGCTCAATGTATCGATTAAAATGTAGTTAATCCAAGATGCGGGGGTCACGAAGGTAAGGTCGAGTTAAGACCCATTGATTATTGAAGAAGGCCCGATGACACGATCTAGAGCGAAACGAGTTAAAGAGGTGATGGGGTTGCTCGTCAAAGCCACTATTGATGAAATCATGTTCGGGACGCAAAATGGAGCAAGTTTCATATTGGGGTCGAAGACTGAAGAGACTTGGATTAATATGATACGAGCAATGGAAGTTGGAAGCAGCAATGTGAACTATGCGACCGCATAGTTATAATTCCATGCAGCCGCATGTATACCGACAGGGAATTTCAGGAGGCAAATCAAATGACTTATGCGACCGTATAGATTAACAATATGCGATCGCATAAAACAAAGTCACGGACCGAATTGTAATTTTTCGCGAGTTTTCTAATTTGATTAGAATTGTAATCTTTTCATAATTCTTCTTATTTTTACACGAGATTTTATTCCTTTTCACAATATTTTAGATTTTAATATAAATAGTAGTATTTTCCATTGTAAAAAAACACTTTTAACAATTATTGAGAGATTATTGCTTCCTTCTTTGTTCTTCCAAATTGAACAATAAATCGAACTTATCAAGGAGAAATTCTTGTGACATTCAAAATCGGGTTGTGGGTTCTTCAATTGTGTAATCAAGGGGTCCATCGTATCTTGCTATCGTTGGGTTTCTTGTTTCACGTTGTTGGGTCGAAAATTCAAAATCGGGTTTTCAATAGGCGTTCTTGGGTTCCGTATCAATCTAGTTGTGGGTTTCGTAGTCTCTGATACTGCGGGGTTCGCATCAGTTGGTATCAGACATTTGGCTCTAATTTAATCAGATTATATCTTTATTTTTCTTGTTTGAGTCGTTAGTTTTTTTTTCGATTCTTCTAGTTACCTTTCGTGTTCTTGAGTCATCCTTCATTGTTAATTCCTAGATTATTGTTTTCGTTGGTAGTATCAAGTTTTGTGTTAAAAAAAGGTTACTGTTCATCCCCAAAAAAAAGGAGAAAAAAGTTACTGTTCACGTAAAAAAAAGTTATTTTTTTGAGTTGATCGATTACTGCCAACAATTTATAATTTAATTCACAACTTTCAATCTTGTTCAAATCAATCCCAATTTTTGTCATAATTCCATTATTGATCTTTTGATAAATCTGTCCAAATTTCATCCCAATTAGTCGCAAATCCCTTGAATTCGTGTTCTTTGAATTACATTTGGTCTTGAATCTACAAGTTTGAATCCGTTGAGTTCATTGTTGTTCTTGGAAGCACTTGGTGAAAGCATTGAGTGGTAAAAGGCAAAGTGGTGAGTTTATTAGAAGGTAAAAGCCAATTGTGTGATTCTGAGTGAACTTGGTGAGGTAGAAAATTGAGAGAATGTCTAAAAGAGAACGCTCAAATTCCAGCAGTAACGGTAATCAAACCAACACGCAGGACGACATGATGCAGCAGTTTGAACATTTATTGATGGATATGGGAGATAGGCTAGACAGGTTGGATACATCGGTTGTAAATCTTAGTAGGGGACAACAGGCGAAAGTACCTCATGCTGGGAGACCAGGTAGGCGGGAGCCTAAGAGGGAATGGGAAGCGTTTAATCATGGTAGTAACTTGGATGAAGATGATTATGAAGAAATGGAGATGGGACGGAAGAGAAATAGAGGTGGTAGGGTTGAACAACGGGGTAGAAATAATTTCGGTGATGATGTAGACGGCATTTTGGGTAATATTAAAATGGCGATTCTACAATTTAGGGGTAGGAGTGATCCCGAGGCTTATTTGGAATGAGAGAAGAAAGTTGAGTTAATTTTTGATTGTCACAACTACTCGGAGGATAAGAAGGTGAAGATTACGGTGTTAGAATTCACTGACTACGCCATCACTTGGTGGGATCAAGTGGTTACTTTACGGCGTTGGAATCGGGAAAGGCCTATTAATACTTGGGATGAACTGAAGGCGGTGATGAGGAAGCGGTTTGTGCCTGGACACTATTACGGGGAGTTACATCAAAGATTGCAGGGTTTATGCCAAGGATCGAGGAGTGTAGAGGATTACCACAAAGAAATAGAAATCTTAATGATTCGGACGAATATAGAATAGGACCAAGAAGCCACCATGATACGGTTCTTGAGTAGAATGAATCGGGATATTGCTAATGTGATAGAGCTGCAATATTACGTGGATTTGAAAGATATTTTGCATGTAGCCATGAAGGTTAAAAAACAGTTGAAGAGGAAGGGAACTGCAAGACAGCCGGTGAATACTTTGTCTTCTAACCCGATTTGGAGGTCGAAATGGGACAATAATAAGGGAAACGAGACGGTAGCTAAGGGAAGAAATGAATTGCAGAAAGGGAAAGATGAAAGTGCTAGTAAAACTATACCCAGAATGGATCCACAGCAATCAAGGAGCAGGGACATAAAATGCTTTCGATGTTTGGGGACGGGACACATTGCTTTTCAGTGTCTTAACAAGTGCGTAATGGTATTGCGGGATAACAGAGAGGTAGTGAGTGAGAGTGAAGGGGAATATGACGTTATGCCAGCATTGGAGGAAGTTAGTGATGAGGAGAAGGTGGAATTTTTCGCTGGGGAGTTGTTGGTCACAAAGCGAGCTCTTAATACTCAAATCAAGGTAGATGACTCGAAGCAGCAACGGGAAAACATATTCCACACCTGATGTCACGTCCACGATATGATGTATAGTTTAATTATTGATGGTGGAAGTTGCACAAATGTGGCCAGTACAACATTAGTTGAGAAGTTATGATTAGCTTTATTGAAATACCCTAGGCTATATAAATTGTAGTGGCTAAATGAAAGTGGGGGTTAGGTTAAACAAATGGGTGTTAATCAATTTTTCAATTGGAAGTTATAGTGACAAGGTTGTATGTGATATGGTGCCTATGCATGCAAGTCATATCTTGTTGGGGAGACCATGGCAATATGATAGAAAAGTTACACATGATGGATATAGGAACCGATATAGCTTTGTTAAGTACGGAAGGTCTATTACCCTTGCGCCATTAACATCGGCATAGGTGTATGAAGACCAAATTAAATTGAAAAGTGAGGAAGAAAGGAGAGCAAGAGAGCTGGGAAGGAAGAGAGAAAATAGTGAGCCAACGGCAAGAGAGAAAATGGTAAGGTGGTTGAGAGTGGAGAAAAAATAGAAAGGCCACATGAGAGGAGAGAAAAAGGGTCAATTGATAGGAGAGAAAAAGAGTCAGTCGAGAGGAGAGAAAAGCCGAAAATGAACTTCTTTACTAAGGAGAGCGAATTGAAAAAGGCAATGGTTGATAAAAGATAAGTGTTGTTGTTGGAATACAAAGAATCACTCCTCAATTTTGAGGAATCTAACACACCCCTCCCTAGTTTGATTAAGTCTTTGTTACAGGAATTCAAAGATGTGTTTCCAGAGGACGTGCCAAGAAGGTTGCCACCAATTCGAAGCATTGAGCACCAAATTAACTTCATACCTGGAGCTGTCATTCTGAACCGACCAGCTTATCAAAGCAACCCCAAGGAGACGAAAGAACCTCAGAGGCAAGTGAAGGAACTGATGAGCAAAGGTTATGTGAGAGAGAGCATGAGCTCTTGTGTTGTGCCTGTTTTGTTGGTACCGAAGAAGAATGGGACATGGACGATGTGTGTGGACTGTAAAGCCATCAGCAACATAACGATAAAGTATCGCCACCCCATATTTAGGTTAGATGATATGCTCAATGAACTGCATGGTGCTTGCATTTTTAATAAAATTGATCTTAAGAGCAGGTATCATCAAATTCGCATGCGGGAGGGCGATGAATGGAAAACAACATTTAAAACTAAATATGGTTTATATGAGTGGTTAGTCATACCATTTGGACTCACAAATGCACCGAGCACTTTTATGCATTTAATGAATCATGTTTTGCGTGCTTTCATAGGTAAATTTGTTGTAGTCTATTTTGATGACATCCTATTCTATAGCAAAGACCTAAAAGAGCATTTGAAATATTTAAAATGTGTGCTTGTTGTGTTAAGAAAGGAATAACTATATGCTAATTTTAAGAAGTGTACGTTTTGCATGGATAAAGTTGTTTTCTTAAGATTTGTGGTTAGTGCTAATAGAGTAAAAGTAGATGAAGAAAAGATAAAAGCTATTAAACAATGGTCAACACCTAAAAGCATAACTGAAGTCAGGAGTTTTCATGATTTAGCTAGTTTTTATAGGAGGTTTGTAAAGGATTTTAGCACAATCACTACACCACTTACTGAGATTATTAAAAAAAGCGTAGGTTTTCATTAGGGTGAGGCACAAGAACTTGTATTTAATAGTATTAAGAATAAATTGTGTAAAGCACCTATTTTGGCATCACCTAACTTTGACAAGACATTCGAGGTCGAGTGTGATGCTTCAGGAATAGGTATTGGAGCAATGTTAATGCAGGAACGAAGGCCTATTGCTTACTTTAGTGAGAAGCTGAGCGAAGCTGCACTAAACTATTCGACATATGACAACGAGCTCTATTCATACCTTCGAGCACTAGAGACTTGGCAGCATTACTTGTGGCCTAAGTAGTTCGTTATACATACCGATCATGAGTCTATAAAAGACTTGTAAGGTCAGGGTAAATTGAACAAGAGACATGCAAGATGGATGAAATTCATCGAGACCTTTCCTTACGTTATCAGGTATAAACAAGGTAATGAAAATGTGGTAGCCGATGCATTGTCTCGAAGGTACGTGCTTCTTAATTCTTTAAGTGTAAAGTTACTTGGCTTTGAGCATATTAAGAGCATGTATGTGAATGACCTTGATTTCTCTGACATCTATGACTCATGTAATAAAGGAACGGTTGACAAATTTTATAAACATGAGGGATATTTGTTTAGAGAGAATAAATTGTGTATTCCTAATTGTTCTATGCGTGAGTTGTTGGTAAGGGAAGCACACACTGGAGGTCTAATGAGTCACTTTGGGGTTCAAAAAACGTTAGAGATATTAGGATAACATTTTTATTGGCCTAAAATGAGATGTGACGTAGAACGAATTTGTGGGAAATGCATAACTTGCAAGAAAGCTAAGTCTAAAGTTTTACCACATGGTTTGTATATGTCTTTACCTGTACCTAGTGAACCTTGGGTGGATATATCAATGGATTTTGTGTTAGGTTTACCTAGGATAAAAAGAGGTCGGGATTCAATATTTGTTGTGGTAGATAGATTTAGTAAAATGACACACTTTATACCATGTCACAAAACCGATGATGCCATTAATATTGCTGATTTGTTCTTTAGGGAAATAGTACATTTGCATGGGGTCCCTAGGAGCATAGTGTCTGATCGGGATGTTAAGTTTTTGAGTCATTTTTTGCGTGTGTTGTGGAATAAGTTAGGTACTAAAC